GGTCAGAAATACACCCTCAGCATATCAGCTCAAAATCCTCTTCCTAACATAAACCATACTGAACCATACACACACTTAGATTTCTTTCACAATTCCAGCAAGACTACAATAAAATTTACTGATTCCCCTTTCTTTATATTTAGGTAGAACAAGATTCTTCGTTATCTTAAGGTTATCTAATTAAGACATGCAATTGTGTTCGGTAGCTGATATATATTATTTAATTCTGTCGACATCTGTTCCACTTAGTAACAATGTAATGTATCTATTTCTGTCATAAACTACTAAACTGCATGCATGCATTAATTATAACAGGGTTCACAGAGAGAGATGTCGCTATAGAGATACCCACTTGAGAATAGTTGATACAGAGTGTTGATGGAAATCAATGGATTGATTGACAGGTTTTACGTCCGCTTCACTACCGAATAGTTCAGTTATCCAGCAGACGATGATGGAAATCAGTGTAAATTTACATAAGTAGTGCGTTATTTACATTCTTTTGAGACTCAGTAATCAAAATATGGAACCAATTTTCATATATATTTTAATTTTTCCCTTACTGTTTAGTCATCTTACAAAAAAAACACCATAAAACTTTCAGTTAAATTGACACTGAAAATGTTTCTTTAAAGTAACATTTTTGTTAAACAAGGGTTTCACTTTGATATACTGGTATGTATATTCTCCGGACCCTTGGAATCAATATGTCACGAAAAAACTGAAGGTTTATGTTTAACGTTTGAATGTTGCAGGCTTTAAATCTGATCAGGAACACCAGCCTGGAACTTAGTTTTCACTGCCTAGATAATAAAAACACTTTATTGTAATTAAACAATACCTTAAACTCATTCAATATGGGGCCAAAACATCTCTTTCATGTAGTGTACCTTGTATTATGGATGAAATTGATTTCATGATTTCTGTGCATGATCAATTTCTCTGTTGAATTATTTACTGAAAATAAATTAAACCTACTTCTCTAAAATACCAAACTGAGAATTGATAGTGCAGCACCGAGACCACTGCACAATCAATTTCTATCTTCACTGTAACATTTGAAAGCAAACATCATGACATGAAAAATTGCACTTCATATTTGCAAATTTGTTCAAGATCAATTTTACTGGTATGTAACGCTCCCAAGTCTGAGACATCACTATCAGCAACTTTGTTTATTCAGCTTAGTTCCGTGTAAATATCTATTGTCTAATTACGGTCAATAAAATTAAATTCATTATAGGACAATAAAAAGACTGAGACAGAAATGTAGACTTATGTTCGCAGACAAGTTGTATGTATACATGTAGTATTAATGATGATGAATTCAATTAACGGTTAACTATTTGTAGCCACGAGACCTGTACTTCAATGCCTGGCCTGCAGGGGCTACCTGAGGACTCTTATCATATTTGACCTGCTGCTCAGACAGGGTGATTAAAGATTGGCAGAAAGGGGGACAATTATTAGGAAAACGTAACAAAAAAAATCACATTTTAAAGTTTTCCCATCACAGCAGAGACATGCAGTTCTCTTTTATGTTATCCCACCCCCTATTAGTTGAATTCCCCATTAATATTGCAGTATATTAATTCATTCTGAAAGGTGGCAGTGTTCATAGTTTCAGCAGGCGGTAGTTGTCCAACTAATAAAACTAACCACACAACTCCTGAAAAGGAAGGAAAACATCTGGAATTTGACAATAGCATTCACGTCATTTCTGTAAACATCTTCTTAGAGCAGGGGCCCTCATTACATCAAATATGGTACTTGTATGCATAGTCCTTGACCTGAATGGGTGTGTAATTCAACAGAAGAAACTATCTTGGCATGCAGTCACTGCAAAATACCTCGCTATTGTTATTTTAATTCTGACTGTTATTATCGCCTTCAATTCGAGCTTGTTTAAGTTGTTAGAGTAATAGAGAGACTGGGTAATTTCTATATATTCTCTGGATCTGGTCGTATTTGTGACTTCACCAATAAGAAAAATTCAGTGACATATCACCTTGAGTCATAGTCAATGCAACAGCTGACTTGATTTGTATTATTACAGAGTAGCTATGTATGTGTATACACTTTGAACTCTAAGATAACAATCTCAGCCTCTGTTTATTAAGACCAAGAGCTTTCATGGGTAATCTGATACTGATTTGCGGGTTTCGAAAAGACCTGTGTCTTTATCTGTGAATTTGTTTCTTCACTAACTCGAGCTCTCATTAAAATGTTCCCTATCCACGTCCCACATCCAATAACAATCACTTGAAGGCTACACATATTATACATATGTACCCGAGCTGTTTCTCCTGTCCATTTCACCAGGGACAGGATAACAAATTTGGTGATTTTCACACATCACCTGATCACCACATAGCCTGAATCCTGTCTGTAAAAGCATAGTTAGTTGAACAAAATTTATTCCACCAGTTTTCCATTTAACAAAAAAAAAGATGAAAAAATTCTAAACAATGACTTCTGATAGAGTTCATTTACCTAAAGATTTTCTCTCACAATGATATTTAGCTCTCCATTTTTATTCATTACAACTTTCTATGGAGTGATTGTGGATGAATTTTACAAAGGTTCAGTGAAGCTAACAAGAATATGTAAGGTAGATTAACCTAGCTACACTATCTTTGCTTGAAGCTGTAGACCTATTCTTTACTCAGTTACCTGTAGCTATATACATGCACAGTGTGTGTGTGTGATGGGACATCAGGTACATGTATCATGAATTGGTGACATGATCCCAAGGTCAAATACATGACCTTGAGGGAATATGTGTAAGTAGGCCTTATCTGACAGCTAAAATCCTGTATAGCTGACTGTATCAAATATATGATAACAGGTAAAAAGAAGGCAGTTTCATTCATTATACAGACAGTCTGGCATCTTTCCGATTTGCCCATTACAAAATTTTTGTCTTGATAGAGAATTCATAATTTCTTTTAAATTGGAATTCAGAATGCATCTCTTATGAAACATGCCTAAGTTTAAATTCACCTAAATGTTAAAATACCGAAAAGGGCAAAATCACAACCATTCCTACCCCCCCCCCCCCCCCCCCAACAAAAAACACCCAAAAAACATAGATCACCTTTATCATTAAAGAATCTAAATAAGACTACTATTTAAATGATATGGGTCAAGAATAACTACAATAGAATTGAATTACACTGTATAACAAAAGAATTGGTACCCAATAAAGTGGAACATCCACACACATGGTAGTATGTCAGCTCGAATAGGTTATTGTCGCCCAGTCCATGGATTTCAAGAGGAAGTTTAGACAATTTTGACTGATATCTAAGTACATGTACTTAAGGGTCAACCCTTACTTGATGAACAGATTTAGTAGACGCTACAAAGAGAATACATAGAGCTTAGTTATACTTCTGAGGTAAATGACACCACCTGAAAGCATTAATCTATTTCAAACTTCAACGAGTTTACTAATCTTCAGTAATCTGGAAGTATATGTACCTTTAATCTTAGCATAAAAACATCAACCGAGGACAATTGTTCTTCAACTGATATTTTATTTCAGAACCAACAATTACTGTTATGCATAACAAAAATATTTCAAAATCCCATGATTGATTTTTCGCCCTTTTCTGCTCTCGTTTTTTCAATCGGTGCATTAATAATGCTTTTAGAGTCCCATCTTAACTCAGTAAGTGTAGAATTGGCAGTGCATATATATGTTCTTTGTTTGACCCCTGTAGATGATTTTTTTTTATCATTTTTATTTTCAACTTTTATAGACCTATGAATAATTCTGACTAAAACATCGCAAGATATGATTGATATGGAATGTTTCTTTAGAAATGGACTTGAACATATATCTATCATTTTAGCATGTGAATATGGTAATGATATATTTTAACTTGATGGTACCTTTATCTTAATAACAAAATAAGATTAGTCTTAGTCCGTGCCTTAACAAGGTATCAATATTTCACAATCTTCTTGCTGTATTTTAGACCTTAGGTGTTTTGGTGGTTTAAAAAACCCAGCTCAAATGCCTTTGTGTTGATTGAAAAATTTGAAATAACAAAGCAACCTAACACATATATTTTTAGCTATAGACTGAATATTTTATGAGATAAACCGGTCACAAATATAATGCTCTGGGGATATCAGTATGACATAAATTAATCTATTAATATCGATATTGAATATGACACTGACACAGACAGCATTGATCCCCAGGACATAAAATACATATATATAGCCATTATAGGCCTTGCCCTGGTATTATATAAATAAATAAAAGCATGTTATATTGGAAACATGAAGCCTTATGTCAACTAATGGGATTACTATAATATTTGTTTGAACAGGCTCTTTTAGTACCATGAAATTAAATTTTTGTTTGTCAAAATAAATATATTGTACATAAATAATCAATGACCTCCATATTATACCATGTAAAATTGTTCTGCCACATAAATTACATTAATTTCGGAACACCAGATCATTCATGAGATTGTCATCAACAGTGAAGTGATTTATTTTTATACAGTAGGCTTGTAAAATTTTAGCACATTGCCCATCTTGACTTTTCAAAGATTTCAACAGAATTATTTCTTTGAGCTTCAGAGATGTTTTAATGCTTAACTTTACTAAATGTACCGAAAAGAGTCTCAGATATTCAGGGAAGAACATATACAGGCCTAATCGGCACTGGACAGTATAAAGCTTAGTCTACCCACGGACTTAGATAATCTAATTCCGTGGTCTACCTAAATGATTAAAAAAATCTAACCTTTTAAATATGTTTTAATATTTCTTCTTCTTTTTGTGAGTATCTAACAAATGTGTTCATTTTCAGTTTATATAAATAATTGCCATTGGAAAAAGAAACTGACAGATATGTACAGGAAATGACATTTAAAGCAAGATCGAATATATAGGCAATATGGATGGGCACATGTACAGTACGTGTGTGTAAGGATGCTCAACTGCATCTTCATCCAATGTAAAGAATATAAACTTACCAAGGATTTCTTTTCGCCGTGTCGCATGCGGCTCCTCTGTATAAACCCATTCATAATCCGTTCTTGAAACGTGTCCTCCCATTTTGAATTCAAAATAAAACTTCCTTTTCGCTACATGAGATTATACAACATCAATCGCCTGATGTCTGCTACAATACTGCCGGTGGTGTACACATGTGTGTGAGATTGTTATAAGGTGATGTGACGTCATGATTTGCATATTCATTATTAGGTCACGTGAGCGCTGAGTAACTACGGCTCTCGATTGACCCCCAGCAAACACACATCCCCGCCATTGAACGGCCATATTGAAGAAGAAATCAACATGGCGTCCGTCATAGGTTCCGAAGTGGAAATACAGGAGGTGGAGGTTGAATCCATCCCTGTGGAGATGCCGATAGAGACAGTTGAGACAACAGATGAAACAGTGGAAGTGCAACCCATGATAGCTCTTCAGCCGCTTCCAGACGTCCAAGAAGAGATTATTCTTCAAACTAGAGAGGAAGTTGTAGGTGATCCCAACCTCGTGTATGTTGGTGATGTTGATCACATACCAGTCCCAGCACCAGAAATTGAAATATCTACAGAGGAAACGACAACATTCAGAAGAGGGAAAGGAGGAAAACGAAAAGGAACTAAAGGTCGTGGTCTTATCCCTGCCGGCCTTGGCGCAGAGTTAAACTTTGATGTTCCAACGTCAACTAAAAAATGGGAACAAAAGCAAGTGCAGATAAAGACACTAGAAGGAGAGTTTTCTGTGACAATGTGGGCATCTGGTTAGTTTTTGTTGTTTTAAAATGGATATATGTTTATATACGAACGTTTTTGTTTTATTCTGAAGTGTCTTGAGGTAAGTATTGAGGTTATAACTTTGGCCAATGTTGACGCTTCATGGAGTCAAATAATTTCCTTCTATAAAAAGGTCACTGCCAATGTATGACGTCAGTCAGTTGTCGTGGCACGTTTCACAAGTGATACTAAATCAGTATATTACTTTTAAAGAACCATGTTGTTACCATGTCTGCTGTTAACAGTGGTTTTCTGGGTTTGTTTTGGTTTTGCCGTCGGCCATCATGAAACTCATGGGCGCCGCCATATTATAAGAATATGGCGGAGTTTTAGCAATGGCGGCTGGCCGCCATTTTTCTACATTACTTGAAGAGAAAACCTCACCTATGTCTTTACATTTTATTTTTAGAGGTAGAAAATAAATCGTACAACTCTGTTATGAACCATCTCAATCCACTGTATGTTTGTTCTGTACAAAAACTATTCTTATGTGCAAGCGGACCTGTTTTGTTCAATGTTGCCGAATGACCTTGCCAAATATTAAAACATGGCTTCCCTGTCGGCCAACTGTGCTTTGTTTAGCTGGCGAGTGACGTAGTTGGTCGACCTTGGTAGTTTATTGGCAGGTCGCCGCGATAGCTAAGATCGAATTTGCAAGTGTCTTGCGCGTGGTTTTGCACACATACAAAGCTTGTGCATCTATATTTTTTATTTCCGGAGGAAAACTGGTCAATATTGAACAGGCGCAAGACACAAACTGAAACAAATAAACTTTCTACACACGTGCATGCATACTATAAGAAAGCGTGAAAAAACATTTTACACTGAGTATTAAAGTACACATAAATAAGAGAGAGAGAGAGAGAGAGAGAGTATGTTTATTGTAATGATATCATGGGCATTTTTAATTGACACAAATTTCATGGTTTTGCACCATAGTTTAGATAGAAACTTCTTTCAGTAAGAGAAATATCTCTCAAGAATGGAGCGATAACTCTCTCTGGTTCAACAATTGCAATTAATCGCCAAAAAGATGTTTCAACAAAAAAAATCTGCAATCCCACCAGTTCTGATTTCTTTGCCAAAATCTGCTTATCCTACTGTCAGCTTTTTGCCAATGAATGTTTACAAGAATTCTTTTATCAAGTCCAATCAGTTATATCAAATTAATCTCATCTGTGCACATGAATTTTTTAAGACTATCATGCACATATGTAAATAAGAAATGAAAAGGGTCTGCAAAAGTATGTAACAGATAATCTGTTGGGTATTCAGCGTAAATTAATTGACCATGAAAAAAAAATTAGTATCAAATAAAGTATTTTTGCTCGGATGTTATAAAGTGTAGCACTGAACAACTAACTCATCACTGCCAAATCCCAGCAATGTTTTTGACTTAAAATGGGTTTAAATTATAATCAACCTTTCTGAAAAATAAAGCAATTTTTGATTGTAAAATTCATTGTGATCGAGCATTGCTTCATTGATCTTGATGTTAGAAGAAAATTGGTGAACACACTGTTCTTTTAAAGTATCATTTGACATTGTGAATTTATAAAATTGATTTAGGATACAAAAATAAATAAATCTTACAAAATTGATTAAAGTGAATGCTCAATTACCATATATAGAGTGGCAGGCACAGACGATCATACTGTAAAAACTACAGATAAATGTTTGTAATACATTATGTTAATTTTTCATAATCAGTTGTTATTTATAACATCAAAAAATATTGTGCAAAATCCAATATTACTTCGTTCAGCTACCATTCCATCATAAATGTTAGGGGTATATATTTCAATGTTTACAGATTGTCACTACATACTGTAATTCTTTAATTTGATTTTAATCTGCCTTATCTACTATAATCCAGAAACTGGGCAAGTGAAATTGTGATCTGGACAACTATCTAAAGGATCCCTGTACCACTGCCAAAAACTGATTAATGATTATTAATATAATGTGTTTTCCAGCATGGCTGTAGCATTCATCAATCATTTCTTAAAAGAAAACCGTACCGTGTGTGACTTATACGAGAAATAATAAAGATGAAATAAACAAAATATAATCAACATCAGTTTTCTGAATGTAAAAAAAGGACCGATAATCGAACCCTGGACACTTAGATTGTTATACATGCACTATCATTCTAACTGGTTGCACTACTTGGTCAACAGATTTTTTTCTTCCACTGAGCTACAGCTTATATATATATATTTCCAAACAGAAGTTAAGAGGAGGTTACTGCATACAGGATAAAATACAGTGCAGTGGATGGGGCAGGGATCCTTACAGGTTACATTTTTAAGCTGTTTTTGGCGAGAGCCGAGCAGTATATTGATTCTGTCCTGAGAACGTCAACTAAATGACGGACCCACTTCTGTTCGGGATGCGTTCATATAATTCAGTCTTGCATGCTTCTGCTTTATAGTTTTTATGTCGCCTGCGAAAAGCTGGTGACACATAGGTATTGCTTTGTCGGCGTTGGCGTCCGAACAGAGGTTTTCGTGCGATAACTTGAGTTTCCTTGAGCAGATCTAACTTAAACTTCATGCAGTGCTTCCTTACCAAAAGTGCTTGCTTGGGATTGCTTTTCAGGTCTGAAGGTCAAAGGTCAAGGTCACTGGTACTATAAAATAGAAAATCTGTTTTGGCACGATAACTTGAGTTTCCTTTGGCCGATCAAACTCAAACTTCATGCAGTGCTTCCTTACCAAAAGTGCTTGCTTGGGAATGCTTTTCAGGTCCGAAGGTGAAAGGTCAAGGTCACTGTTACTATAAATATAAACTTCACTAAAACTGTATACTGGACGGCTTCGATCTACCACTTGACCCACCGTGTATACCTCTGAAATGCCGTCTTACTCCAAATGTTATTGACAACACTAGCTGTTTAACATCAAAATCCACAAGTTTATTCATTTATTTATGGGAAATCATCCGACAAATCATACAAATTAAACTTGGAATTGAGACAAAGAGTATCCATAGCAAGTTCCTTAAAACTCAGAGTATTCTTCCCAGAATAACAGATTATATAACAAAATGATGCCATCCAAAAACATAATCTATGATTGTTGCTTACTTTTAACATTGTTTCTTGAAATGAAAAGTGTATCTATTTCTTCGTAATTTCCCAGCTTCCTGTGCAGGTGACACATCCACTTCCATGGAATTCTTGTGTTATCGTAAATAGAAAGTAGAATCTCTGACACTCATCTGTGGGTTAAGTAAAGTCTTCTGATACTTCTCCAAATAATAATTCATACTTTAAATAATTGCTGAAAACAAAATGTTTATCACCGGTGCATTCTATAAGTGTTGTGGTGGTGAAAAAACTAAATACAAATTGGAATGTTTCATTCGCGCACTGGGTTTGAGCATTTAAGCAACTCGGATTGAGGTGTGAGGAGTGTTTGTTTCACACGCGTATATACATTAAAGTGTTTTCGTGTCTCTTAATCGAGATAGCACCATATGGCCGTATTAGTTTATTAACGGTCAAACCAGTGGACCACAGTTCGTTTATTAGATAAGGTTGGACCTAGTAGTCTGATGCTGCTTTCAGGCGAGCCTTGACAAAGCCTTGCAAGACCTGCATAAACATTTGCAGATCCGCCAGGATTCATACCCAAAATCATTAATTAAACGGTCAAACCAGTTGTTCCGCTTAAACGAAAAGGCCCATGTGAAGACTGTCAAGCATTGACGTTATCTGTACGGTCTAGCTTTTTATATTTTGTAAATACAAGGAAGAAGTAAATGTATATATTTATAAACCCTATGAATGATGAAGTATAACCTCTATTTTGATGTTTCAAACGAGAACGTAATATGACATATCATTCTTAGGTTAGGTTGATTACGGTAATAAACAATCGTTGCTACCACATGGCTCTGAGACGAGACGATATGTGAACTGTGTATGCTTATCAAACGTTTCTGTAACACAGCATGCTATTTCTGGTGTATTTATTATGAAAATGTAACAATTTAAGAACATGACACAACTGCCACTACTGTTTGACAAGAATTCGCGCTGTGTCAAAATATTATCAAATCTGGTGTAAGGGAAATAACTCTTACGTTAGTAAAGTCGTATTGAGAAATATAATTCAAATATATTCCAGGAATATTTGTGAGATTTTGTGATGAATTGTATATTTAATGATAGTAAATAAAGTCACTACATATATTAATAATTATTATTAATATAAATGAAAATAAAAGAAGTACAATATCTCTTTTCTCCATGCATGTTTTCCCCACTACTGTTAGTTATGCTTCATTTCACAAGCACAAAATGCACCTATTCTTTATACCCATTCTGCACGTAAATGCTCATGTCACATCATTGGAGGATGCTAATTAATGAAAATTTCAAGAATGAGTCACAAAAGAGGGTGAAAAAAGAGGAGAGGGAGAAATGTTTTTAAGGCATCATTTAAGAGGTGATTGATTTTGGAAATTTCAAAGGCAACATCATCACATGACCTGATTTTCAATAAGCAGAATACAGATCACATATCTGAGGTATCATAATAGATATTGATGCTCAACATGTTACAGAAGCAATTAAATATAAAGCGATGAGCGGCTTTAGTGTCACACTGACATAATTCTAATTAATTGTGTTTAATTTTAATATGAATATGATCGACTTATTTTTTTTATTTTTATTTTTTGTACAGGTGGAGATGACAAAGTAAAACTCGAAGAAGATTCTGTTTCAGAAACAGATGCTGACTTTACAGAATACATGACTGGCAAAAAGCTTCCTCCAGGTGGCATTCCTGGACTCGATCTTAGTGATCCGAAACAGCTGGCAGAATTTGCAAGGTAACCATTGCTGCTGTGTTATATATTTTCATTTTTGGATTATGTATTAAGGATGTGGCAAGTTGAGTTGTTGCCGGTATTTCATGATAAATTTGGAAAATAGTATGGACATTTTCACGTAATTGTACGCAATGTTTTGGAAGTACTTCTTTTTATTTGGTAGTGTTATATTATATACGACTGAACTGACATGCAGTAAATTGGGACAAACATTATTAAATTATTGATCAATTGTTAATGACACATTAACTCATTATTAACTCGTAAATAAGTAGGATCATGTATTGAATTACATACATAATGATTTCTTTTTTATCATTTCCAGTCTACAACCAAAAGACATGCAACTGTTACAACACTCTAGGTAAGTCATTTAATGATGTCTGATTTACTGTGTAATTAATGTTTATTTTTTAAATTAAAGCTCGTTATTGTTGATGTCAATGATTATAATTTCAAATTTATCTGAATGGCTGGAAATTGTTTTTAAGAATGAGAAGAAGAAAATTGGAAAGATTAGATGCCAAAGAAATATTTCTACGATAATCACACTCTGGAGTCTGTTTAAGGATTTTATTTGTTTTAATATTTTTTGAAGAAAAAAATACATTATATATTTATTATTATTTTTGCAGAATAAAGACCAGAAAAGCTGTGGATGATGTACCAAGAACTGTACCCTGTCCGCACAAGGTTTGTCCCCCCTTGTTTGATACATTTTAAGAAATTCTGATTTTTTTGCCATTCTTAGGTCTCCCCTAAATTAAATACATTTATGTATATGTATATGTAATGCCACCAAAATATAGTTGGACTGTAATCACAAAACTTAACTATTGATATTTGAACTACAGAATTGTGATATTGGACAGGTTTAACTTTTGTTTCTAATCCAAGTGTTCTCAGTATTTACTTTGCCTGGAAAATGTACGGTCATGCTATCAAGGAACATCAACATTTTCGATCAATGATAGTTTAAATAAGAGTAATCGCTCATAATGGGTTCCAATCTGAAAATATTTCTATTCTTGCACTTGCATGCACATATGAAATTTTGCTTGAATCGTGGATTTTATGGAATACTCAAAACTTCTTGAATATCTTTTAATATAAAACTTGTTCTGTTTCAGGGCTGTAATAAAATGTTTCGGGACAATTCAGCAATGCGCAAACACCTTCATACCCATGGTCCCAGAGTTCATGTTTGTGCTGAATGTGGAAAAGCATTTGTTGAAAGCTCAAAATTAAAACGACATCAGTTGGTTCATACTGGAGAAAAGCCTTTTCAGGTAAGATTGGAGTAAAAACGATGCAGTGTGTACAATATGTTGTTTTCAAAATACTTTGTGTCTGGGTGACACCTGGTTGTAGTTATGCATGTCATGTGATATATGAGCAAATGTATTTCCTGTAAACAGTAATAAACTGTCAGCAGTTCTAACAATATACTCAAACACTTCCGACTGCACATCAGACATTTGGTACTTTTTAAACACCCGTCAAATTTGACAGGAGTATTATGGTATGGCGTTGTCCGGCCGGCTGGCATAAACTTTTGTTTGTCCGGCAATCTCCTTCTTCAGTTTTTTGACCAATCTCTTTGAAACTTGGTATACATTATAATCATGATATGAAGTTTTCTCCCTTAAACAAAATTGATTCGACAATTTTTCCAAAAGTTATTGCCCTTTGTTCATTTCGGTATTTGATTTTTTGTCCGGCAATCTTCTCCTCCTTTTTTCAACGGATCTCTTTGAAACTTGGTATACATTATAGTCATGATATGAAGTTGTGTCTCCCTTAAAAGAATTTTGATTCAACAATTTTTCCAAAAGTTATTGCCCTTTGTTCATTTCAGTATTTGATTTTTTGTCCAGAGATCTCCTCCTACATTTTTTGACAGATTTCAGGGTTCTCCCCAGAATTTTTTTAAGCTGATATGTTTCATCTGCAACGAAAATTCGGGGGGGGGGGGGGGGGG